GGTTGAACACAAGTTCTTAATCCTAATTTAGTTAGAACAATTTATTTATCTTTTCACTGAGATCCAGAAGATATTGTCCTTTATGACTTTATAGAATTTTTCTTGTTTTCCTTTCACATTTAGGTCTGTAGTCTACCTGAAATTGGTTTTTGCATGTGGTATGTTGGATGATTTCCATATGGATACCTCTATGTTATTTTCCTGCTCATTTAGTACCGCCTTTTTTTTATAAGTCAAATATCTGCATATGTTTATTTCTGGACTCCTAATCTGCTCCATTCAAATCTATCCCTACTCGAATACTGTACTATTGTAATTACTGGAGCTTTATAACTTGCTGCAGGGGCAAGAGAAATCTCTCTATGCCCTATTGAATTGAATAGGAATCGGAGAAATGAAAGTCAATTAGTTAACAAGAGAAAAGGCATATAAATTTATTTATGTGCACAGGAGCATCACAGGATGGTGAGCCCCCAACATCCAGTGAGATTCAGACCCTGTATATACCCTTCTTCATAGTGTAGAGGGAAGTGTGCTGCTATAGGCAGTTTCAGAGGCAGAGTGAATGATTCTCAGGGAGGAATGGGCCCTGGGACAGTGCTCATTTGAGCTCCAAGTGATGTTATACTTTGAGTCACTTTTTTCTGTGATAATAAGTTTAATCTTTCTTTATTGACATATGTTGTTCTTCAGGTGCTTCCAGCTTGAACTCCAGAGCTCCATAATTCTGGGTGTTCTTTTCTGACCCTAACAGTGGTTTGATGTTTAATATGAACACTGTTTATGACAGCTGACTGCCAAGTTGTGTGTTTGTACCATTTTGGATACCCCCTAGCAGTGTGGAAGAGCTTGGTTTCTATTTCTGCATACTGGTGTCATCAGTCTTTTAGTTTACTATTTTTGTCAGCATGAAGTGGTTTTAATTTTTATTTTCCTGATTATGATGCTGTTGAACACTTTTCTTGTGCTTATTGGCCATTACTTTCTCTATTTTTTTTTTAAGTGAAATATCAATTTAAATTTTGGGAAACTTTTAATGTTGGGGTGTTTGTCTTTATTATTATTTAAAAATCTTTGGGGCTGGGGATTTAGCTCAGTGGTTCCGCCGCCTGCCTTGCAAGTGCAAGGACCCGAGTTTGATCCCCAGTACCAAAAAAATAAAAAGCAAAGTCTTTAATATGCTGAGGATGCAGGCTGTCATTTTATCTCATTAATTTGGCAGGGATTTTTATTTAATATTATAAATTTATTGAGTTAATTGACATATACAGTACTAAACTGCATGTTTTTATGATACATAAATTGCTAGAGTTTTGGCATGTGTAACCACCTGTAAAAAAACACTATTAGAAAGTATAAATTTCTGTTACTATTAGAAACTGTAAAACCACTCCTATCTTTCCTTTCTTCCTTAGTCCTCAAGTAATTAATATTTATTTAAGTAAGTGTAGGTTAGTTTATATTCTCTAGAGCTTAAGAGAAAGCTCACAATGTGTATTCTTATCTGGATTCTTGTACATATATCTTATATAAATTATAGTTCCAGGAACTCAGATACATGATGAAGGAAAATTTTTCTGTTTTTCAGTATACCAGCTGATAAATTCAGTAAGAGTAATAAAGATATAAAATGCCTACTTCCATTGGGTACTGACCAAAAGTTAAAGCTAAGAGAACGTAGAGAAGAGATTCCATAATGGGTAGATCAAATTGAATTGTCTGAAGGTGCTTTCCAATTTTAACACTGTTACAAAAAAAAAAAAAAAGAGGGCTGGGAATTTAGCTCAGTGGCTCTACCAACCTGCTTCACAACCGCAAGGTCCCAAGTTCGATCTCCGATACCAAAAAGAAAAAGAGAGGGAGACAACCAGACTTTATATATGAGGATGTAATTGAAAAGTACTGTGAATGTTTAAGTTGTGTATTTTTTTTCTTTTTTTGGCGGTACCAGGAATTGAACACAGGACCTAGTGCTTGTGAGCCAGGTGTGGGTGCTGCTGAGCTAAATCCCCGGCCCTAGTTCTGTAATTTTTATTACAGTAAAAGACACATTGCTGTTAATCCTCCTCAAAATAGCCCTTTCATCCTGAATTGATTTAAAACCTTTACCTTTTAAGTCACTTTGACTTTAGGGAGGAACCAGTTGTTGCTTGGTGCCAGATCCAGTATGTAAAGTGAAAGAGGACAGACCAAAACATTTTCATGAGTCTACCTTTCCATTATATGGTACTTCTCAGCAGCATTCATTGCATTTTTTATCACAGCTTATAAAGATGTGAAAGAAGACTTCTAGAACTATTTCAGAAAGCAGCAAAAATGATGGGATAAGAATGTTTGAAACCAAGGGGAGTATTTTGAGAGAGATTAATGGCACTGTAACAGTTTTTTATTTTTTATTTTTTGGTACCGGGGATCGAACTCAAGACCTTGTGCTTGCAAGGCAGGCGCCGGAACCACTGAGCTAAATCCCTGGCCCAATGTGATAGTTTTTAAAATATAAACATTCATGGTATTTTTGTGTCATACTGTATATTCTGCATTGTGATGTGATGGAATATTCCAGATTGTGGGGGTGAGACAGGTCTCACTATGAAGTCCAGGCTGACCTTGAACTCGAAGCGATCCTCCTGCCTCAGCCCCCCCAGTGCTGGGATTATAGGAATGTGCCACCATGCCTGGTTCTAGATTTTTTTTATATATATCCTTTGTTTCTCTGTGTATTGGGTTGATTTTTATCTCTCTTCTAACACATGGCGCATACTTAGAAATACCTGTTTTAATTTTCTTGTCTGTTGATTCCCTTCTGAGAGTTCTGGGTCCGTTCTTACTGGTTGCTTTTTCTTTAGGGTGTGGATTATAGAGTTTTGTTCCTTTGCTTGCCTATTTTGTTGTTGTTATTGTTTTCTTGGATATCAAACACTGAATTTCATTTTATACAGTTCCAGCTTTTGTTACATTTCTTTCGGTAGTTTTGGGCTTTGTTCTGCCAGGTAGTCTAGCTAATTGCAAGTCATTTGATTGTTTTCAGTCTTTTAAATTTGTGTGAGCAAATACAGTAGGACTAATGTGTCATGTTACTGAGGAAATACTGTTTCGAGAACCCTACCCCTTGGACTTCTGACTTTGACTTTCAGGTTTGTTTTTATATATGCACAGTACAGTACTTCTCACCCAGAGTCAAGGGAACTTTCTGAAGATCTCCACAGTGCATATAAGAGCAGCTCACACATGCACTCTGCCATGCTTGCTTGTTCTTTCTCCCCCTCCCTCTTTTCTCTCTTCCTCTCCCTTTCCTGTTCCCTCCTTTCTGATACTCTGCCATGCAAATTCAAAGCATCTGTCTTAGTCCTGTTACCCACACCTGAAAGCTCTGTCTCTCTCCATTCAGCTCAGATCATCAGTCTTTGTTAAGGTTCTTTTCTCTCATGTTAGGGCCTAGAGAGTGCCTGTAGATACATAATGAGGTTATTATAGAGATCGTGTTAGCTTTTTTTTTCTTAGGGTTCATAGCTCTGTCCTACTTCCCCAGTGCCTCAAAACTTTTGGGGCTGGGGATTTAGCTTAGCAGGGGGCTAGGAATGTAGCTCAGTGGCACCGAGCCTGCCTCAAAAGGACAAAATCCTGAGTACAATCCCTGGTACCAAAAAAATAAAACTTTTATTTCATACATTATTTTTGATTTCATGTATCAGGTAATGTAAGAATATGGGGAAGCTAAAAATATAGTTCTTCGGCTTCACAAGCAACAAAAGTGATGGGTTATGTTCAGTATGTGATCCTACATTGTTTTTGATTAGAATTATGTTATAAACTATTGTATATAACTGTACTTTGTTGAAAGTTATTAATTTCATTATACTTAGCCTTTATAAATATGCTTTGTCACTTTTTTTTTTTTGGTGTCAGGGTTCGAACTCGAGTCCTTCTGCTTGCAAGACAGGCGGCAGAACCACTGAGCTAAATCCCTAGCCCCTCTTGTCACTTTCTTAATTTAAACATTCTTTCCAGTCCATGAATAAAGTTGTAAAATTTTCTTTATAAATGACTTCTGTGTTTAAGGGTTTTGTGTTGGTTTTTTCTTGTATTTTATATTTGTTTTCATTATTTGTGGGAATTTCCATTGCTTATTTTGGAGTATTATTTATACATTTTAAAATAATTTGCCATGGTACTAATTTGAAATACTGTAATATTTTAAGCTGCTTTATACATTCTTTTTTGTTTGTTTTTTTATACATTATTACCCTTTTATGTCCCATATAACTTGCAAGTTTTTAAAAATTGTTCCCTTTTTTTTTTTTAAAATTATCTTTTTTGTGTGTGTGCTAGGGATCGAACTCGGGTCCTTCCGCTTTCGAGGCAGGCACCAGAACCACTGAGCTAAATCCCCGGCCCTAAAATTATCTTTTAAAATGAAAACTTATCATTATCTTCATGCTTGCTTTCTTTTTTTTGTTAGATATCTATCTAAAAATACTCATATTTTCTTTTAGTATTGATCCAGCTTTAGTTTTTTGCAAAGAGATAACCAGTGAGTGCAGTGTTTTATTTTTGAGCCATCTTTGTGTTTAACTATATTATGTTTATTCAAATATTAGTATTTTTAAAGTTTTAAAATATTTGTTGTCTAACACAATAATTTGTTTTTATAAAACATTATATAATTATGGTGTCACTCTATTAGGTGTGTTTTCCTTTTAATTCAGGATATATTGACAAATGTGCAAAATTTGAGGTTATACAAGTATCTTACATAACCACTTTTAGGGTCTAAAGACAGCAATTCAAAAAGAATTTTCATACAGAACTATATTGGGATCTTTTATATCTGGGCAGCTAAGAGGAAAGACATTTTGTGTTTGTTTTCTTTATAAGAAAATCTTAGTAAGAGAGGGATCAGAATTTCTTGGTTAACATCTCAGGGTTTTTTATTGTTTATTTTTTCCTGTATTGATATACTTATAACTTCTGCTAAAGAAATTGTTTTTCTGTTTTTATAGTTTTGGTAAGCAGTTTGGAGGAAAAAGAGGATGTGATTGTCTTGTATTAGAGCCTTCAGAAATGATTGTGGTAAGAATTTTAAAGAATGCTGAATTGTTTATTGATGTGCTTCAGTTTCAACTTTAAATGTAATAGGCTTTAAATATTCAAGGCAGTTCCATCGCTATGCCTTTTAGAGACTTTAAGTAGAATTAGAACCATATAACAAGTTTGTACATTTTTATCTCAAAACTATTTCTGTACCTTGAGACAGTGTGAAACATGATATAGTTACATATAACATATTCCAAATTTGGTGACTCCTTTTACCCATTTCACCAGAAAATTAAAAGAAAGGTTTTGAAAAAGGGACTATGGGCAGCCAGCTCAGTGGTTCCACTGCCTGTCTCACAAGCACAAGGTCCCAAGTTCTATCCCTGGTACCAAAAAAAAAGAAAAGAAAAAGGTACTATGATTTGCAAGTGTTTTCTTCTTTTTTACTGAATTTAGTCAATGGACTTTGTTCTGTTTTGGTTTTGGTACCAGGACTCGAACTCAGGACCTGCAGTTACGAGGCAGGCGCACTGCCGCTGTACTAAATCCCTGGCCCCCCTAGTCAGTGGAATTTGAACATCTGGGGTCTGTGCCCTGGACTAGAGAGAAAGACGTAGAGAAAAATAGAGATACACAGGTAGCTCCAAGTACAAAATGACCTGGATCTTAGTGCATTTGCTTTTTAGTTATTTGGGACAGGTTTTTATTTGAGGATTAGTTCAGGAATTCTTCTTTTTTTTTTTTTTTGGTACTGGGGATCGAACTCAGGACCTTGCGCTTGTGGGGCAGGCGCCAGAATCACTGAGCTAAATCCCTGGCTCGGGAATTATTCTTTACTTTTTTTCTTAAGAGAGCTAGATAATTGGTGTAACTTTAGAACATCCTGCTTTTTTTTAAAACATTAGCAGAATTAAGAACACTACTACCTTTTACCTTGTTCTGAGATGACCTTACTTGGAAATCACATAGTCCTATTTTCATCTCGTGTAGATCATCATATCCTCTGATTTGATTTGAACTGTTGAGAAGTGAGGCTGAATTCTAAATGAAGCCTTTTAACGTCAGTGCTCAAAGCTAACTCACTTTGCCATTTCATTAAGGTCTAGTCAACTTGACATCTTCAAGTAGTTTTGTCATCCCCAACCTGGATCACCTACATGACCATAAATGTACTCCAAGTTTTGTAAAAACAAGTGGAATTTAAGCTCCTATATATCTCCCACAATCCAACTTTTAAATTATAAATTATAAGTTCAATTTATAAAGTAGGCCCAGTAAGAGATTAACAGTACTAATAAAGGCTGGGGATTTAGCTCAGTGGTTTCACCGCCTGCTGCGTAAGCGCAAGGACCTGAGTTCAATCCCTGGTACCAAAAAAAAACCAAAAAACCAAACAATACTAATAAAGTAGAACAATTATATAACTATGTACAGTGGACCCTCAAGTTACAACCAGCCTGACATAAAAACAACTTGGATTATGACTGGAATTTTAGTTTTAACTTACAACTCAAATGCTGGCTGCTTGTGCTTCCAGATGATCTCAGATTTAACACTTAAAGAGTTCTGGGGGGAACATTACAACAACTTTTCCTATATGGGGTTGAGAAACCCTGAGCCATTGTCTCTAAGAACACTGAGATCTGCCTGTGCACAGGGGAGAGACTTTGAAGGCTGAGTAGAGGAGCCTGAGGGTTCAATTGACCAACTTGAGCTGCAACCAGCCCTTGCAAATGAATTGAGTTTGTAAGTCAAGGGTCCCCTGTACTGTATTAAAAGTGAATGTGATCTCTTTCTTTGAAAATATTTCCTTATACTGTACTCATCCCCCTTTTTGTTGGATGCTGATAACTGAGTTTGTGGAAAACAAAGCTTGGTGGGGGGGACTCTACTATATTGCAGAGGAGTAACCTGCATAATAAGTACTCAGTGACCATTATAGGGTCTCAGAATTCTTTCTTTTAAATACATGTATTTAGGAACATACCAGGAAAACTTCCCAAGTAAAATTCGTGTTTTAAGTTTATTTTTATCTGAGGTATTTTTGTATTTCTCATACTGTATGGGGAAAGAATAATGCCTTTACTTCAGTATTCTCATATATATTATGTTTTAAGACTTTGTGAATATTTTATATAATTTTTTTACATATAAGATGAAAGAAAAGGAAAAATCATAAAATCACTTCTAGTGTAAGATGCTACAGGCTCATCTTATACATTCCCTGTCCCAAACCTGAGTTAGCCTTTTCTCTAATGGGACCTGGTTGCCTTTAAGAGAGAAAAGTATTTAGAATCCAAGATCAGCTGTCAGTTGTGCTTATTGTTCCAGGTGTTCCATTGCTTCCAGGATCTCTCATGAAAAAAGCTAGGAAGTATATGCACACACACCCACTTTCATTATTTAATTTTTTCTTTTATTTAGTTTTTTCCTGGGTATTCACTGTGTAGTTTAAGCTGGTCTTAAACTCACTCTGTAGCCCAGGCTGGCCTTAAACTCAGGGTGATCCTCCTGCCTCAGCCTCCTGAGTGCTAGAATGCTGGGATCACAGGCATGCACCACCACACTCAGCAATAAAAATTATTTTTTAATATGTGTATATCTGTGTTAAAAACCCAGAGTTTATTCAGGATTTTTTTAGTACCTAAAAGAATAGGAAACATATATGCATAAAATCTTGTATATGAATATGTGCACATTATTTATAATATCCAGAAAGTAGAAACAGCCCAATGTGTATCAGCTAGGTGAACTGATAAACACAGTGTCCTGTGTCCTTATGGTGGGCATAGTATTGATACTTGCCACAACATGAATGAACTTGGAAAGTATTATGTTAAGTGAAAGCAACCAGACACAAAAAGGTCACCTGTTATGGGATTCCATTTATATGAAATGGTCAGAATAGGGAAATCCAGAGACAGAAATTAGATTAGTGGTTATCAGGGTCTATGGAGAGAAGAATGGAAAATGGATATAAGTGGATATAGGTTTTTCTTTACAATGATAAAAATGTTCTAGAACTAGATAGTAATGCTAGTTATACAACTTTGCAAATATTTGAAAAGTCACTGAATTGTACATTTTTTAAAGTGTTAATTTTATGATGCATCCCATTTCAAAAAAGATATATGAGAATAAAAGAAAACAGGACAAAGGGCATCATAAAAGACTTAACCACAGAGGTAACCACTGGGAAAAAGCACAGGTCCAAGAGTAGACATCTCACAGTGGAATAAATATGGCAAATAGAAATGATTATAAAATGTTATCTCATCGGCCCGGGGATTTAGCTCAGTGGTTCTGCCTGCTGCCTCGCAAGGGCAAGGTCCAGAGTTTGATCCCTGGTACCAAAAAAAAAAAAAGTTAAAATATTATCTCAAGATTAAGCAGAATCATCGGACAATGATTTTCAGTTTGACTCACAACATGTGGAATTGATGCCAACCACATGGATTGATTTGAGAAGGCTAAAAGAAAAGCATCAGAAGCTGGTATACTGAAAAGATGAAAACCAAAAAGAGGACAGATGTAATTTTGAGGTTTCTTTCGGAAGGAGGGATGCTAGGGATTTAACCCAGTGCCTTTCACACTGAGCTATGGGAGTGATGAAACAAAATAGGATGGTGATTTTTATCCACACATATCAAGAATATAATATAAATATCCCAATAAAAATTATCAGATTAAATTTTAATAACTATGTTACTTCAAAACATCAATGCAAATATAAGACTTAAGAAGGATTAAAATTATGGGAAAAAAATACAACATACAAGCAATAACTAAAGGAGATCTAGTGTATCTCCATTATCAAAGTACACTTTAAATCAAGGATGGTTTTTTGCCTTGTTTTTTGAGACAGGGTCTGATTTTTTTTTTAGCTCAAACTAGGCTCAGACTCCTAATTCTCCTGCTTCAGCCTCTTGAGTGCTGGGATTACAGGCATGTACTACCATGCTCGTCCTGTTCAGGGAGCATAATTTATTTGAGAATGTTATTATTTAATGTCATTGTTATCAAAGTTAAACAGTCCTGAACTTTTACATAACAAATATATACAGCTTCAAAATATATAGAGTAAAAACTGTCATTAATAAATGATGAGATTTTAATGTATTTCTAAAAGCAACTGAGAAAACACGCATCAGAAATAAATGATGTGGATGTGAACCTGATCACTTACGCAGTTTACCTCATGTCCACATAGAGAATGCTATCCTTATGAACAACAGAACACACCTAGTTTTAAGTCCTTCCTTGGCCATATGGTGGGACGTAAGCAAATGCTCAAAACATTTCAGAGGTTAAAGTTGAGTGTTTCTGACCTCCGTGAAATTAATTTAAAAACAACTTACAGAATCACTAGAACAAAGTACAGTTTTTGAAAATCAGGACTATACGTTTGTCAAAGAAGAGTACCTGTGGAAATTAGGAAATGTTTTCTCTGAATGAAGAGGATATTTCAGAATGTATGGAATTGAGCTTAAGCCTTTTCTACTGTGTACTTAAACCTTGGTGATTTATGGCAAAATGCTGACATTTGCTAAGTGAAGTACCCATGTCAGAAAATTAGAAAGCAGTATACATATGGAAATGAGAAGGCAAGAAATAATAAAGATAAGTATAAAATATTTACAGGCATTGACATAAAAAAACATTTAAACTAGGATCAACAAAGCCAACAAAAGTTGGTTCTCAGAAAAGACTAATAAAGCTGGGGATTTAGCTCAAGGTCCTGAGTTTGATCCCTGGTACCAAAAGAACAAAACAAAAACTAATCAAGAGCAAAACAGAAGTTGCATAACCAATAATAGGAATTAGGATGCATGCATAATTATAAATCCACATACATTTAAAAAATGATAATAAAGGATATCATGAAAAACTTGTACCGAAACTGGCAGATGTACATAGAAAATCTGCATGAGCTAATATCTAGAAAAGAAAGTAAGTCTATAATTGCATACCTTTCCATCTAGAAATTCAGACCACCGTAGCATTCCTGGTGAATTTTGCCCAAACTTTTAAAGAAA